ACTTGCCCAGCTTCTCCCAAGAAGTGCTTCCCTTCCCACCACACTGTGCTGTTCTCAAAGGCTGAGGGGGCCCAGCAGACCCATCTTGAGGGTCCACATGATCCCTTGCCTCAGGCTGCTTACTTTTGCAGAGACAACTTTCTCCTCAGAAGAGTCCAGACCAGGAGCATCAGCCAGGCTCTGAGGGGGTGTGGTGTCAACTGGCCTGATGCTGACAGCAGCCTTCCCCGTGCCCCCAGTCAGCGTGGTGTGGGTATGTCTGTGTCGAGTGCCTCTGAAGTTCCTAAACATCTGTGGGAGAAAGTAAGGCAGGGAAGAGAGGGATGTCCCATCGAGTGCTCCAATGGTGGTGTTCGCTGAGCAGGTGGGGATGGCTGATGGTACCTGGACTATAAAGCTCTTGGTCACCAAGTCCCAGAAGGGGGAATGGGGGAGAGTGGGAGAACTGCCAGAGGAAGCCAATTGCCAGGTTTCCCCCAGAAATGCTGCCCTTTCCACCAGACTGTGCTGGCCTCAAAAGCTGAGTGGGCCCAGGGAAGCCGTCTTGAGGGGCCACACCACCCTAGGTTGGCTTGAGCCCTGGCCACAGGCTGCTTACTTGCTTTGGACTGGAGACACCATTCTCCCCAAAAAAATCCCAAATGGGAGAATCAATCGGACTGTCACTGGACGTGGAGTCAGTGCTGACAGTTGTTGTTGTAGTGGCAACCTCCGCAGTGAGATGAGGCAGTGCAGTGTCAGAGTTTGTGGCTTCATTGGTCAACACGGCGTCAGAGATTGCCATGCAATCAGTCGATGTGGTGTCAGTGCTTGTTGTGTCATCAGTCCAAACAGTGTCAGACTTCCTTCTTTGATCATTCCGTGTGGTGTCAGAGTTTCTTGTGTGATTATTCAACGCAGGGACAGACTTGCTTGTAAGATCAGTTGGCGCAGTGCCGACGTCAGGCTTTGCCTTCATCTTAGTCAGCCTGGTGTCAGCCTGTGCCATGGCCTCAGCTGGTGAGGTCCTGGTCTTTCTACGCTGAATGCCCAGGAATTTCAGAAAGGCCTGGAGGAGAATGGAGAGGAGGGAAGAGGATGATGCGCCATGGAGAGCTCCATCAGCAGTGCCAGGCTGAGCAGGGACAGCAGGCCCAGCCCAGGAGGCGATGGCTGCAGGTACCTGTGCTGCCCTGGGGAAACGGCCACGGGCACGGTCCTGTTTTTGTGTCCGGTCGTGGCCTGGATCTGGCAAAGAATCTAAGACAGCTGGACATGAACTTTAGACACAGCTCAAAAAATAAGCAACTTCTCCCAAGGAGACCGTGCCAGCTTCTGTGGAGGCCCCGTGCCCTTCCCACTGCGGCTGTGTCGGCAACTGAGGGGGTTCCTTCTGCTGCCGTGGGCAGGCACTGCAGGGGAAACTTTGCTAAGTTTTTTCATAGTTTTATGGCAGTTTCTTTACCCTTGCTCCCTATAAAATCCCCTGCTATGCAGAGCAAGCAGTGCGGACAGAAAGAGATACCACAGAATCATGGAATATCCTGAACTGGGAGGGATCCACAAGGATCATCCAGTCCAACTCCTGGCTCTGCACAGGACACCCAACAATCCCACCCAATCCCTGAGGGTGTTGTCCAAACACTCCTTGAGC